ATTTCATGACACATTATAGCAAAGCAAGTGATCAAACTGATAAACCAATCAAGCTACTTTGATTTCCCGCAAAAGAAATACATAAGTATGGTTAAATCCTCCTTCGTACGCTTCAATTCGACTGAATTGCCACTAATGGCATTTTGCTGTGCTAAAACAGTTCAGCATGGGAAGAAAGCAACTACAACAGAAAGCGAAAATGACCTTTTTATTTGTTTCAGAAATATCACAGAATTTTGAAAGGCCATGGGAGGAATACAAATTGACAACTGCTAGGTGCCAAAGATCAACTGAATTTTTGCTATAATTCAGTCCAGATGAATTTTGAAACGTTAAATTTTAGGACCGCCGGAACAGTTCGTTCAGAAATTCGATGTTACTCAATGCCCCTCGCACGTGAATTTAGCACTTTTAATCAAATACATCTTACAGAAGTTCTTTAATAAAAAGAATGAAATCTCCACCCATAGTTTTTCGGAGGTGCACACAAATGACCCGAAACGTAACACTTCATGAACAGTCATTTTCTTCAATTTAGAAAGTGCAACTATTTTGCAAAAAAGATGCACACACTCACTGTTTTGCAAAAAAATTTTTGGCTGCTTTCTTGATTTTTCAGTGAGTTTATTAAATCAGCGATATCAACAAATTTGTGTCCTTATATATGTTATTATTCTTACTGTTACTACTACTGTTGTTGCTATCGTCATTATTATTAATATTAACATCGTCGTTATCGTCATAACCATTACTATCAGTATGATTGTTGTCATTGTTATTATTATACCATTTTAAAGCCCAAAGCAAAAAGAATGCTAAGTTACCAGCTGACTGATCATTAAGCAGTACAACAGTAGATAAGCTGAAAAAGTTTTCAGCTGTACTGCTGAAGAATCTGGCTATGAATTTTAGCTCGCTTAATATTCCAGATATGTTAATTTTAGGTTTCATGCACTGACTGTTGAAGGAAGCTAAATTTTTTTGAATGACCATTTTTAAATTTTTTTTTAAATGGTAATTTATTTTTCATGGGACTGGCAACAAATATAGTGTGTGCGCCACTGGCTAGCAAGTTGAATGAAGCAAATGATGAAGGACAATAAATAAGCATTGTCGCATTTTACAAAAATCGTAAGCTGTGATGAAACCCTAACTATAAGTAGTAAAATGTGGGGTCCAAAAAAATGATGTATTGGCACCGTAGGTTTAGTTATGAGAGTCTTTTTTAAGTAGTGTTAGAAAAATCACAGTTTTGATCCCAAAAAATTCCAATTTACGTTAAAATGATTATTTCTGGCAAGGCTCCTTCTTCCAAGATTTGCTTAGAAGCAGGATGATGGTAATCCCGAGCGTCAATTTACCACCGAAACGAATGAACAAATCGTAGAGGGACTGGCTATGAAACCAACTGAGTAGGACTTTTGCCTTTTAATATTTGAGAGACACAATTCAGTACAGTACCATTAAGACAAAAATTAAGTAGTATGTCACTATCACAACTAATAAATGATAGTCATAAATTATTCATTAAGAGATAAGAAAAAAGAAAGGAATTAATTATAACTCAGAAGACGGGAAATTAATTCTAAACAGGGATGTTTCGGTCCATTAAGTCGCATGTATGTCCATCAGCGCTGATATGGACTATGAATGTGAATTATAAGGGTAAACACATAGGACTGCAAACAATTTGCAAGCCACATTGAACAAATTAAATTTTTCAATTGAACAAAAGAAAAAGGTGAAGTAGCTGTCGTAGTAGCGCATGTGCAGTAGTAAGAAATGTGATGCAAGAAGTACTCCAACGGGTCGTTTCAATCAAATCGAGCAATTAGGCAGAGCGTTTGGAATCAATTGAAGGACAAAGAATTTTTGTCGTTTTAATTTCAGAGAAAGGTTAAAATTGATGAAAAGAAGCAGCAAGCAGTCGTCAGTCAGTCAGCGTGTCAACCACTCAACCCATCGGAAATGGTCGCAGCGATGTCGCATGGAACCAGAAATTCAGTAATCGACGAAGGCGACGAAAATGCTGACGATGACGCTGATAATGATGATGATGATGACGGCAACCCAAATTACCACTATGTACTTCTGCTTTTTTTCCCCCCAAGCTAAACAGTTGGAATACGATGATTTACTAATGCTGCTGATGCGGATGATGTCTCAGCCTGCTCCTGATCATGATTTCAATGATCTTTGGTAATTAACAGTCAAAATGACCTTCTACCGCCACCGACAAAAATGACCTCTCATCTACACTCCCCACCTTCATCAAGATTTCTTATCATTTCCTCACATTGTTTACAAAAAAGCCTGTACCTGGGGGCTTTTAAATAATCTTAACTGGTGACTCTTCATACCTCACCCACTGGCTTCTTGTCAAGCGCCAAACATCAAATAGTGACGAGGAAACGAGTTTATGACGAGGCAAATAGAAAAGCTTGTGCAATAGAGAAGGCGAGAAAGATGTCCAGGAAAGGCTAAGGCTGGATGATGGAGGAAGAAGTCTTTTGGAAAGGCAAATCAAATTAAGTAGCGAGGCGATTAGGTAACAGGCAAAATTATGCAACTCGCGCGATTATATGAAGACTAAATTTTAATTTCTTCGGGGGCATATGAACATGATGAATCCTCCTAAAATTTCAGTTTTCTTTTTTGGCTACCAAGCTGAAACTATTCCTGACAAGAATTTCACGTGCCCTTGTATGAATTCTATGTACAAGTGAAAATTAATTTTCAGTTGACTGAACCGGACACAAGAAAGATACAACTTTCTGAAATTTCAGCTTCCTAGCTTTTCTGATTGCTAAGTTGGAAGACCCGGATGGATTCTCCTGACACAGGGACAGTCTCCCAACACTGTTCTTGTACAGTTGTTGCGACACAAAACATAAACATTATTTCATTGCCTAACAGCCGAAATATTCATTAGCAAAATTTTCTTGGTATATATTTAGACATCCCGATCAATTGTCGCTCTTCATGACACTGGAGTTGGATGGCGCCTTTTCTTTCCATAATCGCTGTGTATGAAGAACTAAATCATTAGATGGCCAAGTTTTTATTTGCAGCTGACCATAAAATGAAGCAACTTCTGACCAACTGTTACTCATTTTTCTTCATTTTTCAAGAAACAAGGCGTTGGAATCTCAAATTGGACCGGCTTCTGAAAGCGAAGAAAATGTAAAAATATAGAGCAAAATAAAAATGTATAAAAAAATAATTTTTGAAAAAAAAACAAGGAAAGATGAGGCACCTCATCGCCATCTAGGGGAGCTTGAAATTCAAGACGGGTAGTGGTGTTTAAGTCACTTGCCAAGGATTTCTTGAAGCAGCTAATAAAGCTTTTCCAAACGCCTCTACTGGGAAAATCCTTATGTTAATTGATGATTTTTTCATAGGGCAAAACGAATTTTACGGGATCATCAGCTGGCTAACCAACAGGCCACGCATCATTGGTCAGAGTAGGTGAAAAAGCTTCCAGACGCATAGATAGAGAACCACGCCATGAATTTTCGCAAAGAGGACGTTTCTCATTGGATGTTTTGGCTTGAAAAAGCAAGCAAAGCTGGTTGTTGAGGCTAAGAGAAGATTGAGGAAAAGAAGCTGGAAAAGCGATATTTTTATGAGCATCGAGGGAACTGATGCTATAAAAATGACGAAACTGTAATAAAGTTAGGACACCTGGGACCTCGTTATCGAGTTCTCGATGTTATCTTGATGCAGCTGCAAATGCCGAACGCATGCACACTAGGGGAATTCCATTTTTGAACTTCCAGTTCCCGGTTCTAGTCTTCTCTTTAGCTCGCTCTCGTCCTTTTTTTGCCGATTGACTGAACAGTTGATTCAGATGTTTCGGGCTACACTCTTTAGCTGTTTTTGA